GGGAGAAGACGAGTCTCTCGATAAGGCTCTTAATGAATGGTTACTCAGGAATAAAGTTATAATATAATAAAACAATTGCGATATTAAATATTAACATTTAACGAATGACCTTTTGTAAATATGAATATAATATATATAATATATTATAGAGATACACGCGCGCGTGGCGCAACAATTATAGATATACATATATATGATATGACACACACATATATATACGTATACATATATATATATATATATATATATATATATATATACATAAAATGTATATGTATATATATAAAAGAGAAATATGTACAGGGTGATTCGGAATAAGCCGCGAGTATATTTCAACGTCATTATACGAAGAGCTTTTATTATAGAGCATGATAAGTAACAAAATTACTTGTGTCAGAAGAGTGTTATTTTATTCTCCGATACTATTTCATTTGAAATAATTATTTTTCTGTACGACATGTCGACACACACCTGCGACGAATCTGGATCACTCTGTACAATTTTACGATCGCCTCAATAAGAGATGACAAGCCTGATAGAAACGCATATATGGAGAAAAACGTATATTTGCGTGAAAGGAAGAAAAAAACGGGAGAATGTGTGTGTGTATGAATGCGAATAAAACGATTATGTAGACATGTATGTACGAGATCAAAGCGAAAATTCACTTCTATTAATGGAAAACTGACCAAAATGTCGATGACAGGAGGAAGGGTAGAAGGAATGCCGCGATACGTGTCGACGATCATTTGTGTCGAAAGGCAAATAACATCAAAAAGTAAAAAGAGAGAGAGAAAGAGAGAAAACGAAAAGAAGGAAGCAGAGAGAAAATTCGTTAAGAAACGTCACACGGCAAGCTGCGTTCGCAATTAGCAATTAACACTTTGCTTACCGACTTTAAACGTCAGCTGACTTTCATCGTAATGTTTGCAGTGAAAGATATTTGCAGTAAAATAACGATCGGCAATCAAAGTGTTAAGACCGCCGATTAAAATCGGTATAATTTCGACGAGTTTGCTTCATCGTATGTCGTAGACAAGGGCGCGAAAGGGAGCTCTGTATCTCCTTGAAAAGGATGCTAGTCTCGACGAGGATTTATCCTTCCGAGTCCTACGACTGATCGAAGATTCAACTCGCCGGAATTCTGACGATTTTTGGGATCTCCGATTAAATCGAGGTGCCAACGGAGGGAAGATATCGCCAATCCTCGAAGATGAAAATGTGACAGCCGCGTATCCCGGCGCGTTGCATACGTGCGTGATTGTACACACGCATTTTTGTCCATTTCTACACGTATATCTGTTCTCTCCTACGACGATATAGAAGGTTATTTTTAAATTTTCGAAACTCTTAGCTGTGCCGCAAGCCCGCGTGCGAGTGTCTGTACGATCGGATGTCAGTAGGAATCCTGAAATATAAATAGACGATTGAAGAGGAGACCGTACACGGACTTTTCTTTCACGCGATTGATGATTTTTCCTTCCCTTCCCACACGCGCAGCACCTGGATATCAAGTCCTTATTTAAAATAATTTTCCTCAAAACAAGAGTATATTTTGTTCTAAGAAAGATGGTAATGAAAGACATAATTTATAAAACATATTTTTTGACATATGATAAAAATTTTATTTGGTTTTTCCAGGTTCTTCTTTAGTAGTTTAATTTTTGGGAGATATAATAAATAATTAAAAGTGTAAATAAAAAAATGACAAAATATACGAAAACGCGTTGACGATTAAATTGCGACATTCATTAATACTTAACTCTTTGAATCGTAACAGTACGTAAAACCATTGGAATCCGGTTTCTTTTGGTAGACGAACAAAGGGCATGCCTGGTTCGCATCGACCCTTCTTTGTTCGCTTGTAGCGCAAACCCCAAAGAATAGAGACCAATAAGATCTGGTTGCAGTCAGAATACGATCAATACGAAGTTTTGAGAGAAGTTGGAAAGTAATTTCATTCCAGTCAGCTCCATTTATCAAAAATCAACATTCTCGCCATTGAAAATGTAAAGTTTTGGCATAACATTGTGATTACGTCGTACTGCTGCGGTGTAAAATTTTGAAAGAGTCAGTATTTTTAACACATTGCTAAATTAGCGCTGTCAAAGCGGAAATGTTGAACAAAGTTTGAGTTAGCGAAATTTAAGCTCGTTTTCTTAAGTGTTTTAATAAATTTACTTGAGAAAGAAAGATTAAAAATAAAACAAACAATGACTATCTGAAACTAATGAATATATCATATTATGATATTTATATAAATATTTGAAGGCATATATATGCTTTTAAAAAAAACTAAAAAAAATATTTCTTAGGTTTTTCTCTCTAAAAATTTAAATTTTTCTCTAAAAATATATATATTTAAAATTATCAGATTTTGTTAAAGCAAAATTTTTAGAGAGAAATCTAGGAAATATTTTTTTATCTTCTTTAAATATTATAAATATTATCAGATATTAAATATTCCATAAACATGTCAGGGATATTAAATTAAAATACTTATCATTTAAAATTATATTAGTCAGTACTATTAGTGAACTATTAGTAAAAGATTTTTAATATATATGCATACACTTAATAGTTAAAAAACACATCTTCGCTTAGATAGCTTTAACGAAAATCATTTTACACGTATGTACGTACGTTATTCATTCATAGTTCTCAATGAGTCATTCATTCCTATACGAGAAACATGATTGTACAACACTTGTGCGATAACAGTAGCGCACATGTGACACGTTTTATGGCTTCTCATTCATAGAAGTACATTTAATTGCCTATCAATAAGCATATTAGAATCACTTCATCTAAATCTATAAATTGAATAAACAAGAGATTGCATATAACTGGAATACATAAATATATGCAGAAAATCTTATAAATATAATAATAAAAATTGCGCGAATCTCAAAACTGCAAATTATCTTTAATAAAAGAAAAAGTATGTGTAAAAAAAACAAGGATTTTATTGAAATTGAATGAAATTGGAAATTATCTCATTATTAATGTATTATTGATTTAGTGAAATAATTTGATAACTAAAATAATTATTAGGTAATGAGATGAGGAGTAAGTTTCTGATTATTTTATTATAATTTTATTAAACCATCAAATTAAATCTATTAATTGAAAATTCCATCATTTCAATTAACATTACATTCATTTTATCTTTATATTATAATATATAATCAACTTAAAAAAAATATATAAATTATTTATTTTGACGTTTAAATCTAAAAAAAAATTCTATGCAAGATTATGATTCTGAATCAAACAATAAAATTCAATATTTTAGAAATCGATGAATCAATTCAATATAAATTAGAAACCAATGAGCAATGCATTTCAGAATAATAAATACAAAAATGAAAGTTTATGAGTTAAACATTGTTATATCTGTAAAATTAGCATGCTTATGTTTATATAAGCGTATGGACACATCTTGAAAATTTTTTGTAATTATTGTAAAAGAATTTTTAACGATCGTTTTTAAAAGTTGAATCGATAAAACTACAAACTGAATTAAAAAATTTTCACAATTATGTTATATTTTTATATCAAAATGGAAGAAATATTTCTGTGAAATATTATCGTTATCATCTGGTTTAATTAAAATTAGATAGATGAAACCACATTGTAATGAGAGATACAGAGCTGTAACGGGATACCGTTAATGCCCCAAGAATGCGCGCGTAATCGCCTTTCTTTACCTTTCACCGTTCATCTCGACCGAATTATTGATTACGTTGATGTCTCGTAAATAGAGCAAACATGATAAGACATATTTTTTTCATTCATCTTCTTCAAAAATACGACATAAAATTCAATATTAATTTGTAGTTTTTTTCCGAGAAATAATTAATTAATATTTTAAATTAATTAATTTAAAACATCAACCGCATAATTACAATAAATAAAAATTTATAAAATATAAATGCAAGATATTAAAATATAATAATATAATTTTACGTTATTACAGTTTGATTGAAGTGTTCTAATAAAATTATTTTATAACAATGATGTTTCTTTTAATATTCTATAATGCAAATGTACGAATGTAAGACATTCTATAGAAAAAAATCGATAAAATCTTTTTTTTTTATTAAATAAAACGAATTCCAATCGTTGAAAATATTTGATGTAACGCAAAGTTTTACACACTCGCTCTGCATATTTGAAAATGAATAAAAATAAAATTAACAGCATGCAGTATTATCTGAGCAATTAACAATGAAAATATAAAACATTATTTATCATTTTATTGAGCGAAACAATTAAAATCATTAACCAAGTCGGTTTATCATTAAGTTAAACTCTGTTTAAAAGAAAAATTAATATTCAAAGTTTAATTAACCCTTATTAACACTTAACTATTTCTTAACAACTTAAAAACTTATTTTCAATATTATCTATAAGCAATGGATTCATAATTTATGTAATTTGGAGTATTATCTCGCAGAAAGTAAAAGAAGACAACTGTTTAACTGTTTTTGATGAAGTTATTACAATAAGAAATATTATTAATATATTTTATTTTATTTTTATTATATATTTTATTTTTTTCGATAAGATATTTATTAATAAAAAATAAATAAACAAGAAGAAAAAATATTGCAAAATCAAGGAACAAAGCATCTAACACGTGATTCTAAGCACGTGAACTAAGCAACATGTCAAGAATCTAAAGCCATGTACAAGAATCTCCATCTTGATCTTTGGTTCCTATCTTCAAAGTACAAAGCAATTTACGATATTAATTTACATCAATAATCGGCAATATCTCGATGCGAAAGACACAATACATTGCATCGTATCAAGGAACGCACTCAAATGCAGCGGAATCGCATCCAACTCCGTTCACGGAGCACGGAGAGGAACTATGCGCACAGATTGTTCCTTCTCGCATCGAAATCAAGTATCTCGCGGTTCGATATAATGGAGTCGCAGTATCGAATCGGACCGATCGGACGTGCGTTCCGCACGAACGCATAAATACATACGTCAAAGTGCATACCGAATGCGACGCGATGCCATCTCACTCGCACGTGCGTCCGTCCTCGTCTCTCCTTCCTCGTCCAGCCTCTTCTTCCTTGTCCAACCATTCCTCACGCACTCACACACGCGCGCGTATCCTAGGACCGCGCCTACACGAGACCCGTACACGCACACTCTGGCACGTATATGTGTGCATGCCGCGCAGGCGCACGTGCGCCTGCGCGGCTGTAGCCTCGAACCCAGACGCGTCCGATGGACCACAAGCGAGCGGAGAAAGAAATGAAAGCGCCAATTCCCGCGGACGGCTGAAGAAAATACGGACAAAAATTGAAAAAAATGATTCCGCGCTTTATCGCCACGAATTCCGCGTCTGACATTCGATACCGGGAAATAATATCCGGCGGAGCGACGAGCGGTGGCGCTAGTGTCGCGGCGGCGACGCTGGTTGCGAGGCTGCGGCCAAGAAGCCGTATGCGCATGTCATCTCATTGCACGGTCTCTTTCTGTCGTGGCGCTTGGAGGTGAGTGGTTGTTCTTAGTTCGCGCACCGGATCGCTATCCGACAAATCTCGTACCGGGGACGTAGCATCGGACAACAGGTATGGAATAGAACGACGGCCGGGATCGCGACGTGCTGTGTTGTGCGAGCAGTTTCCCGATCTCGTCGCGGATTCCCGTAGAATTTCCCGGTTTCGTCCAACAACCGCATGGCCGGTGCTCCTTTTCCCCTTCGATCCAGCTTCGCCGGCTGGTCGGGATCCGCGTAAAGAACCAGCGCGTCGACGACGAGCGTCGACTCGTCCCGCCTCGATTCGTCGTCGGTAACGAAAAGGGAGATCCGGATGAGCGCGATCGGGAAAGGTAAGACGCCGGTGAGATCGCAAACGCCGGCAATGGACGCGTCCAGGATCGAGACCGGAGAAAGACCGGATGCACTATGGCGGCCGTGCGCTTGTCAGAGCTCTGGACCTCGATCGCGGGTCGCCCGTCGTCCGGACAAGATTCGTAACGCGACGTCTTGAGTGTGCTCTCGATTCTCTTCCGACGAGAAGGATCGCGATTCTTGGGACGCAACGCGAGCGGGATAAAACCGAGAACCGGAAGCACGAGGTTAAAGTTCTCCTTCGCGATTCCACGGCCTGGAGGCCGTGTGCAACACGACGATCTTGCACGTCGGCCTCTGGAATGTACGAGATCTATCCGCATGTGTCGATCACGGGAGTTTCTCGTGAATGCTGCCGGAATATATTAGCGGTCGTAAAATGATCAAATTCCTCGTCCCTTTTTATATTCATGATCTAAGCACGATATAGATAATCGCGTTGAAATAAAATATCGCTGATAAGAATAAAGTTACATATATCGAGAAATAGCATCGGATCTCGTCATCGCGGATAATTCCAGCCCGGTAAAAAACTGGGCGGTATCTGACCTCGCCGCCTCGAGGACGTTTCCGAAAAGCGATCTATCGCGATGATTATTCGTCCGTTGTAAAACGTAAGGGAAATTCGGAAAAAAAAATCATGATTATTATCTCGGAATTTGGTCTCCTCCCTCGAGAGTCACCGGCTGTGATTAACGTTTGAAAACTCGATCGTATGCATAATTTTCCACGCGCGTTCCGAGCCGCGAAGGACGCGGCATATTTGGCCACCTGATCGGCGGTGACTCGTTAAAAATTCGAACAACTGCCGAGAATTCGTCGCGATTTCGTCGAAGGACCGCGGACAACGGGGCGCTCGATCCGTTCGGATGACGGAGAATCTCGCAAAAAAAGAATCCGTAATAACGTGGCATCGTGACGCGATGCCGAGCGTCGCGAAAATTGTGGCAACAGCGCGCCGCTCCTCCTCGTCATTTACAAAATGGCTGCCGGCTGCCATTCTCGAATGTTCACGTTCGGCCACGTGGACGACGGACAAAGACACCGTCGAAGGGTCGAGGTATTCGCGCGTTCGACACGTAGTCCAGGAGCGGTTGCACCATCTTGTGCGATATCGAGTCGGATGACACTTATCGCGCTTTATCAAGATGTTTTTCAGATATGAATTGCGAGAATGATTCTCCCCCCCCCCCCCTCATACTCGGTTGCTCCGATCGCCACCCGATTCCATATTGCACATCACGTATTGCATTATCAATTGTAATTTGGTACGAGTTGTCGGATAGTCTCTGATGTTGAAAGAATTAAAAATTGTATCATATATTTATATTATATTAGGTTTTTTCTTTATTATATTTTCATTTGTTGCCCTTTTTTTCTCAGTGTAACATCGTGTACAGAAGAAACTATTGCCTAAAACCAAAATGGGTAAAGAGAAGACTCACATCAACATTGTCGTCATTGGACACGTCGATTCTGGCAAATCCACTACGACTGGACATTTGATCTACAAATGCGGTGGTATTGACAAACGTACCATTGAGAAGTTCGAGAAGGAAGCCCAGGAGGTAATAACTTTGAGATCTAAGTATGTGCTAATACTTTATATTTCATTGAATACATTATGGCAATATTTTGTCACTTATTTGTAATTTTTAATAAGAGATTAATAAAAACTATCTATTCTATCTAATGTATCGACTATTGATAATACAAAGTACTTCATCTAAAAATTTTATTCAATATTAACACAAAGATAAAAGAAAAATCTGAAATAAAAAAAAAAAGACTATATTTATATTATTTTTTCTAGATGGGCAAAGGTTCCTTTAAATACGCTTGGGTGTTGGACAAATTGAAAGCTGAACGTGAGCGTGGTATCACGATCGATATTGCCTTGTGGAAGTTTGAAACATCCAAATATTATGTCACCATCATCGATGCTCCTGGACACAGAGATTTTATTAAGAACATGATCACTGGTACTTCGCAAGCTGATTGCGCTGTATTGATTGTCGCTGCTGGTACTGGCGAATTCGAGGCAGGTATCTCGAAGAATGGACAAACTCGTGAGCATGCTTTGCTCGCCTTCACCCTTGGCGTTAAGCAGTTGATTGTCGGAGTTAACAAGATGGATTCCACTGAGCCTCCGTACTCCGAGACCCGATTCGAAGAAATCAAGAAAGAAGTATCGTCGTACATCAAAAAGATTGGCTACAACCCGGCTGCAGTCGCATTTGTTCCCATTTCTGGCTGGCATGGAGACAACATGCTGGAGCCATCTTCCAAGATGCCCTGGTTCAAAGGATGGTCTGTGGAGCGCAAAGAAGGCAAAGCTGACGGCAAATGTCTTATCGAAGCCCTCGATGCCATCCTGCCACCCACCAGGCCGACTGATAAGGCCCTTCGTCTTCCCCTTCAGGTAATTCTGATACTTTGATCATGATTTTCAATTTTTTGGCATAAATAATTTTATATGATGATATTTCTTTGATCTCATTCGCGGTTTTCACCAGAGGATTTTCGTTCCATTGATGGTTTAAGAGTGTCTGATTCTGTAAGATATTAGATATAAAATAAATAACTAATTTTGCTGAATTGAGATAATAATGTTTTCTTGTAATTGCAGGATGTGTACAAGATTGGTGGTATTGGAACAGTACCTGTCGGTCGTGTCGAAACTGGTGTGTTGAAACCCGGTATGGTTGTTACTTTTGCACCTGCTGGATTGACCACTGAAGTCAAATCGGTCGAAATGCACCACGAAGCCCTTACAGAGGCTGTGCCCGGTGACAACGTTGGTTTCAACGTTAAGAACGTGTCTGTTAAAGAATTGCGTCGTGGATATGTTGCCGGAGACTCCAAGAACAATCCGCCTAAGGGTGCCGCTGACTTTACTGCACAGGTATATTTCTTAATATGTTCAATTATACTCCTTTTATTACTCTATAATTGACACTATGATGAAAACGTATATATCTCATTCGCGGTTTCCACCGGAAGATTTATTCTAATGATGGTTGAGTACGTCTGAGTGTCTTAATTTTTACATTTCATTACATTTTATTATTTATTACTTTATTTGAAACAAAATATATGAATTATATGTGTAATGTAATTAACATAATTATTTTTTTCGTTTAGGTCATCGTGCTCAATCACCCTGGTCAAATCAGTAACGGATATACGCCTGTGTTGGATTGTCACACCGCCCACATTGCTTGCAAGTTCGCCGAAATTAAGGAGAAGTGCGACCGTCGTACTGGCAAAACCACCGAAGAGAATCCGAAAGCCATCAAGTCCGGTGATGCCGCCATTGTTACCCTGGTTCCCAGCAAGCCCATGTGCGTCGAGGCTTTCCAAGAATTCCCGCCTCTGGGACGTTTCGCGGTCCGTGACATGCGTCAGACAGTAGCTGTCGGCGTTATCAAGGCCGTCACCTTTAAGGATCAAGCTGGCAAAGTCACCAAGGCCGCTGAGAAAGCCCAGAAGAAGAAATAACTACTGTAATAGTTTCCGTGCATATACCGATAGTTTCCGTGCGAATATGCCACTGGGTGGATGCCGGCGTACATCAGCCGACATAGCCCGTCCTCTCTCCTCGTGCGATTCGCGCGAGATGAATGTTGTAACATCACCGTCATCGCTAGCTGAATCTGTGCAACTACCAGCTACCAAGAATGAGAAAACTACAATCCAATCACGAAGATTGACTCTTCGCGTGTGCGAAGTCGCGCGGCCGCCGCGCTTCCTCGGCACGCGGACATTTCGTTTGTCGAAACGGTTACTACGTCACTTTTTCCACCGCAAGGAATTCCGCAGGAAAGGAAACGACATGATCGACGAGGTATATACCGGGAAGATGATGAGCCTGTTTTCATCTCGCTGAAATCGCATTCAAGGAGGGAGAGCGGACATCGCGCGAGCTATTTAACAACTTCATAACGAACATCAACATCATAATTTAGCGCGGCTTAATTATATTTTCTAATTATACGGAAATAAAATTCTGTATATCCGATACTCGAGAAGAACATGTCATTATTACTTTACATCGACATTGTTACTCGATTAATATCGAGTCACGTTTGTCATCCTTTTTGAAGAAAACTCCTCATTTATCGCTCTAACATCTATGGTAGCTATACGATCCGATCGGAAATTCAAATACATCGCGGCGATGCTCCGTATATTCTTTTGTCTTCTTGGTAGCTTTTTATATATTAATCACGTTCAAAGAGACTGTATTAATTCAAGAAACTAGAGAAGAGACAACGGCGATAGGCCTTGGCAAAAGTAGATTTCGTTGTTGGGATATGGGACCTGTTGTTTCTTCTAATAATTATCTTTCTATTATATATGCAATTATATAGATAAGATGAATCCAAGCTCTTTGAAAATACTTTTTCTACGAGATATTTCTTTTATCGACTAACGTCAAAACAAGTGCGTGCACAAAAAAAAACAATAACTTTTGCAATAACTCGGCATCTTTTATCCCGCGATTCCTCTATAAATTACATTGGTTATGACAGTTTTCTGTATATATACATATAAATACCAATGATGACGAGTAAGAGCGAGAATAAAAAAAGCTACGGAAACAAGATGCCGGTGATTCATTATCACCAATGTGAAACCCGATCCTTCATCTTCCTTGTAACGTGCCTAAATGTGTTATACAGGCATTTTCACATAAAGATTCCAATTAAAACTGTATTATTCAATAAATGCATTAAATATATAATCGCCATTTATTTATTAAATATATGAAAATTATAAGACTATGAAAATTATAAGACTATGATATATTATGAGATTTTTAATTACTAGATATTATGGACAAACAAGGAATTTGTAATAAAAAATTCTGACAAAATACATAACTGAAGCAACTAATCTATATATAAAATGTAGAAATAAAAACGCTGATTATAAAGATCTTATTGATATGAAAATACGAAAAAAAACAATTTAGACTATCGAAATAGATATAAATTAGAATTTTCACATTCGTGTAATGTACAAGTATTGTTATTCAAAAAATTTGTTCAATATGGCGTAGCCAATCAAATTTTGTTACTTCAAATATGTATTTACAATCGATATAGTGATTTATATTGCATTATCTTAAATCGGTCGCTGTTAAATCGCGTGTATAACATTATATTTTTCTGTTTTTACGAAACAGAAAAGATTGCACGTTTGACAGAACTGATCAGCTGATTTGTAACTTAGTATTTATAACGAAGATCCGAAACCCGCTTGTACAATTATAGCGATAATTCGAATCCATTTAACGTGCGAAAAAGATTAAACATAAAATAGAGAGAATAAAATAACGTGTTGCATAAAATATTAAATTACTTAGCATATATATATATAGCTTTAAATTTTAACTTATTTTATAATTATAAATGTGATGAATATTTGCACACATATACACACATGATATGTCCAACTCAAAAGTACTTAAATCGAAAGTCGTCGAAAGGAAGACATCGAATGACGTTGTATTTATATTTAGGTGGGAAAAAAATAAAAAAAGTTTGTCGAAAAGATACAAAAAATGCAGCTGAAAATAATGGATCTTCTGATAACGTATGTGCAATGTACGTTTCACATGTACTCCACTTCAGTTGCCATTAAACCTATTTAATTGCGCTATGCTCGGAAAGGTTAGGGACTGTTTACTTGTCAAATTTGCAATGTCGGGGGTAAACGTAGGCGAAACATGAAAGAGATTTGAAGAGAAGTGACGAGACATTCTTGCGGAAATCATGTTTTTCCCCGTAGGATGGCCGCGGGTTCTAAATTCCAGCGAGCCAAGTGAAATAAATGCCGTGGTGTGCAACAGAGACAAAATTCTCTTTGCCGTTCTCACTACAAATGCTCTCACCATCTGGTACTGCAAGGCACGTATTTTAGATCAGAATAAGTCTCTTTTCTCTACCCAGGAATTTTTTTATCCAATATTCAGAATAATTCATTCTTTACTGAAGTCAATTTTATTAGTGTCATATTAATAACTATATTTAGCATACATATATATACACATACATACACACTTCTTAAGAGAGAGATTAGAACTTTTGTATGGAAATATTTTCATTGTCGTAAATAATGTATTTGCCATAATAGCAATGATAATATTCCACATATTGAGATTAACATGTGTTTTGAAGTTTAATAATATTCTATAATTTTGTTTATATTCCTTATAATTAAATTTTCTATATATTATTAAATGACACAAAATTTTTATTGTAAATTTTTATACATATTTTTGTATATAATAATTTATGAAATACAATTTGTGTTGTAGCCCTGTGTACCAATTGTATTTAACAGACGATCTGCAGTTTCCTTACGAAAGCATGGTGAGAATGTTTTGGTGCAATGGAGACCAGATTCAAGTATGCTGGTCATTGCAACATCAGACAGTTATCTATTATTTTACCGGCTCTCGGACAGCAGTCCAGAGAGCCGGGGACTTTACGAACAACGAGATTCACCAGTCACCAGCCTGAAGCGAGATAGCGCAGAATTATTCATCAAAGAAATTATTCCATCTCTTATCTTGAATTTTGTAAGTAACCTATTAACCCACAACTTACAAAATTATATATAATGAAAAATGTAAGATAAAAATTCATTATTAGTTACAAGATTAAACCATTTAACTTATTCAAATTATAAACTAATTATATTTTCATTTGTTTATAGGAAAAATCAGCTTGGATTGATGGTGGAATCAGTTCATTAGTTTGTATACGAGATGAGCTAATGGTAGCGACCAAAACTAGCCATGTGGTGCGTCACAAATGGGATGGTACTATGAATCGTGACTATTCTTTAGACTTGAGGCGTATACCGTTCAGTATTGATCAACAAATCTCTACAGTAGCTGTGCCACTCACAGAGAGCAATATCTATGTCACTGATATTGAATATTCGCCTTTTGTTGGAGGCTTTGCTATTGTGCTTAGTAATGGTAAAGCTGCATTTCTCACTGCTCAATCTTTGAAATTTGATCCTAACCAAGTGCAAGGAATCTGGGCTCGAGATTTGGATGATGCTACTTGTGCTGCTGTTAATCATAAATATCGATTAATTGCTATTGGTAGGCAAAAGTAAGTTTTTTTTTTGCAATATTATTTTTAATAAATTAGTAACTGTATTTATTAATTAGAAAACAAAACATATATTTTTCTATTAATAATATATCTGTCATAAATAAATTGTTTATTTTATTTAAATATAGTTAAAATAAATATAATTAATATATAATTCTAACATTTATTTATTTTTACAGCTCAGAAGGCATTGTTTATTATGTCGATGAAACAACAGGAGGTTTAGAGATGTCACACACTCTGAGTCTATCTTCCAAAGATTATCCAGGTCGACCAGGTAGCGTCAAGTGTCTCAGATGGACACCCGACAGTTGCGCTATCGCACTAGCGTGGGAAGGTGGTGGCTTAGCACTATGGAGTACCTTTGGTGCTCTGTTGCTCTGTAGTTTGAAATGGGATTATGGCCTACGAGTGGATCTGATGCATGATAATCCTCTGCATATCCATACAATGGAATGGTCGGCAGAGGGTTATCAATTGTGGATGCTACGAGAATCTCCAGGACCTTCAGTTACCGAAGAAAACGGTAATGAAACGTCCAATTTAAATCGCTCTCTCATTCAATTGGATTTCGCTAAAAGTCCTTTGACTATTAACCCGTGCATGGGCCATCACGGGCACCTGTACCTTCAAGGCGAGGACAGGTTGTATTTAAATTTAGGCGCCGGATTATCTTCGACGGCTTCAGGTTTTCATCTTGCCACTGAAATACCCAACGACAGTATGCTTCAGACACTTGCTGGATGTAAGCAGTGGGTCGTTGTACCTATTCCAACCGCATATAGTGGCTCTAATTGGCCAATTCGGGTAATATAATTTTAATACAATTATGAAAAAAAACTAACATTTTGTGATATATAAATTATTAATTTTCATTATTTAATGTTATTAGTTAATAGTTAGTTGAGTAGTTGATCTCTTATTAAAAAGAATTAGTATTATTAATATTTGAGTTGAACATTATTAGCTATAATGAAAAGAATTTTAAAGTATTTTCTCTTTTTTATCTTTATTATATCATATATATTTATGTGTGTATGTAACAGTATACTGCAATAGACAGTGAAGGTTTGAGTCTTGCGGTGGCTGGTCGAACGGGATTAGCGCATTATTCTTTACCCTCGAGGAAATGGAAATTGTTCGGCAACGAAAGTCAAGAGCGGGATTTTATAGTGACTGGTGGATTGCTGTGGCATAAAGGATATCTCATAGCTAGCAGTTATTCGATCTTGGATGATAAAGATGAAATCAGGATTTATCCGCGCAATACTCGTCTCGATAATAATTATGTCAAGAGCGTTAGGATGCCCTCACAAATATTACTATTGAATACGATGAAAGACAGGCTTTTAACATTCTGTTCCAATGCTCAGATTAGCATATATGATATGGAGTTGCAAAATGAAGTCGGTAAGTGATAGGATGCGAGATTGTTTTTGAGAAGAATTTTAATTCATCTTTTTATTAAAAATGGCTGTTATATATTTTAGAAGCTGGCAGTATCGAATTAAAAAAAATACAGACGGTGGATATTAGCGGATTGTGTGTACATCCTGCTTGTGTAGTCAGCGCCACATTGACTACGATTCGTGCAGAGACTGCTGGTAGTCATCCCCATCCTGAAAGCCTCCTATTAAACGTTTCCGGACGGCTTCTCATGGTTCAACGTGAACATTGCACCGACAACTCGGACATTCGATTTACGTGTGGTACGCCAACAGTATTAGCGTCATACGTCGAGAATGTTTGGGTACCATCGCGCTCAAGGAGAGATAAGCCGCATTTAACTGAGGCTCTGTGGTTATTTTGCGGAGCACACGGCATGCGAGTTTGGTTGCCATTGTTCCGTAATCATCAAGAAAAGGCGCACGCCTTTATGAGCAAGCGGATAATGCTGCCTTTTCACTTGCGGATTTATCCATTAGCAATACTCTTTGAAGATGCGATTTTGCTTGGAGCTGAAAACGATACTGTGCTGTTCACGTCGGATACTAATTCGCCTTTTTCACTACCCTTCAATTTACTGGAACTTACGGTATTAATTTCATTATTTTTTTAAATTCTATATACGTACAAAATTGTCATAATACAGAAATTTATCTCTATATATATTGCTTAAAAGAATTATTACACATATTTTTTTAAAGAATTATTTGATAATTATTGCCTGCATATTTTTATTACCTACGTTACACTTAAAGCTAATTTTTATTTTAGAGTCAAGTGTATCTGCATCAGATTCTACGTCAGTTGATACATCGAAACTTGGGCTATCATGCGTGGGAGATAGCACGTTCGTGTTCCGCATTACCGTATTTCCCGCATTCGT